GTTTTGAACGAGAGGAAGAAGGGCATGGGAAAATCAGCGCCTTGGAATAGAAGTGTGCTCTTCTTCGGGGTGCGAAAAAGTTTTAATATGCAAAATTGCATGTTTTCTAAATTTTTTGTTATTTCAGAATAGAAACAGCTCTCTGCGGATTGCAAAAACTTCTGCATGGTGCTGATTTGCCAGAGAATGTGCAGAAAACATGCAGGCAACTTGTAAGTGCGTTGTATTTTTTCTATACCTATATGAACTTGATTCTTTTTCACATATTACTTATTTCCTCGTTTTTTAAGATCATTATGGGTTTGGAAATGCTTCGTAATCCGGATGAGATCAGTCGCTTTCGACCAGTTATCCAAGAAGACTCGACGACCAACCCCGATGCTTTGCCTGAGGGATTTGAAGAAATTGCATGGAAGAGATAAGTTTTATTTATATTTTATTTCAAACTCATGGGAAATTCCGGTTTCTTATGATAGTGTGTTTGCTTCTCTTAGCTCTTTAATTATCGGGAATATTTTCTTGACAGTGTGCTACTATTTGGGCCAGTTTAACTTTGATGAAATCGAATTGTATTTAAATCTGCTTACGATATATGAAGATTGCTCTGCTATTAGTTCCCCCCTCCCGTCCCCCGCTCCCCATGTTAATGATTGTGCTGGAATACTCCCCCACGCTAGACCCAACTTTACCAATCCTTTCAGTCCTGATCTGCTTATCCAGCTAGTAGATGCTGTATTCAAGGTGGATATGCCTGCTTCTTTCGGATATAAAAAAATACTGTAAAAGCACAAGTAGCTTGAGTATTGCTGTTTTCGTCTTTTGCTTCCTTGGTTTCCAAGAACCCCCATGTATTGCTGTTGTTTTTTCAGGATGAAATCATTGATGTCATTTGAAAATCACTTCAAAAACGAAACTGTTTCATTGGCCGTTCCATGGGATATGAAAACAAATTTTCTGCAAACCGAAATAAAGTTGATGGACATAGTGCGAGAACATCATGGACGGGATAACAAGTGTGTTCAAAACTTATCGCGTTCTTTTAGATTCTGCTCTGATCCTTGATAACTGTTGCCTAATGATTACCTGAAAAATATTAGGATCGGACTCTCTGACTATTGAATATGCAGTTACAAACTTTTCCATTTGCTCTGACCAATGTTGCATCGTGTGATGGTCAATCTGCTGGTGATTTCCACGTTCGTTTCTTCTCTTATAGGGATAGGAAGGGCAGAAAGGCCGTAGAGGCCCAGCCAAGAAACAATTACTCCAAATAGGAATGTCAGTGTTGAGCTAGACGACGTTTTGTAACGAAAACCACAGAACCGTAAGGAACAGTGTATGATGTATAGATCAAAAACTTCTTATAAAGTCGTAAAAATCTGGAGTTTTGTTTACCAACTCAAAGTTTTGTCGAATTTGGCAAAGTTTTAGTTGTTTCGAGATATCCTTGATGTGCATTTGAAAATCCGCATCTCGTTCCCAACTCTTCCAATGATCATTAGCCATGATGAGGTACATGTATAATTATACAGCGTAGTAATTTTGCACTGGTTTTGTAGGAGTGGAATTGGCGACTTGACACGACAGCTGGGTGATGATGCGAAAATTTTAATGCTCGGCGATACGAGCTTACAGTTGCATACGCAGGCTAGCGTACTCCATCTGCTGGCCACAGCAGTTAAAGATAGTCGAAAACCGAATCACAAACAGCTGGTCAGTTTTCTTTTAATCCGCACTTTTTTGTACGAACATTTTTTGAATTTTTTCATTGATGAGTATTATCGGGAAGAATTTTAGTGAATTTTACTTTATTTGAATCTATTTTGTATTCCCTCTTTCCTCGTCAAGGGTGTGCAGCTTAGGAATGAAACACAGACATCGGACACAAGTAGCAACACTTGTTTGCTTAAACGTGCTTAATTTTTGTTATTATCATTTATTGTCGTCATTTGGCATTACCACCACTCGAATTAGTTTTCAAGTGTCTCCACTTTCCAGAAAGAGTAAATATTTCGAGCATTCGCTGACAAATACAGCTTCTTTTTTATGGCTTCGTATTTTTATAGTCGATTTCTGCATGTAATTTAATCCATAATTGCTAGACGCAAAATATCAAAATAGCCTTTAAGGATCTAAATTTTGCAAATTTTCTCGAAAAATGAAAGCTGAAAAGTCAGAGACAAAATTTTCAGATCTTATGAAGTTTTGAACTTTTCCAACTTTATGTTCAAATTTTCAGAAGCAAAAAAAAAAAAAAACCAAATTTTCAGGTTAATGTCAACATTTTCGAACCGTCATTTCTGTTTGATTTGAAAAGCAGTTCCGCAGTTCAGCGTATCGCGGTGGCTCAGCAACTCAGCATATGGCTACAGCATACGCAAACACGAGAATCAGGCTCATCATTGAATATGATCGCCGATGAGCCATCCTACCATCTCGGGATGGCGCGGCTGGCAAGAAAAACGGGAAATTATCGACTTGCCGAGAGACAGATCAAGCTACATTTCAAAAAACGTCGGCCCATGCTCGACAGCATTCAGCAAACCATCCTGCATGTAAGTTTT